GGTGAGGGACTGGTGGGAGGATTTGACCTCTGGGAGTCACAAGAGTGATTTTCCTGGCTTGGTCCTATTCCTAAAGCCCCTTTAAAGCAGCAGTGCACTGCCTGGAGGACATGGAGAACTCCTGAGGTCCCCTCGCAGCCATACCAAGTATATGGCACATGGGGAGGGAAGGGCCCGTGGGGTCTTTGAATCCAGTCCCCTGCATTCACAGCCAGCCGCATAACAGGCGTTCAGCCCAGGAACAGCCAGTGCTTTGGGCCTTTGCAGCGGCGGAGGACTTGGCAGCTGAAGGACAAACAGTTATGCTGTAGGAACTGAACCTTTAGGATGCCATCGCTTCCCAGCCTGAAAGAGGCAATGAACAGAAAATCAAATCCAAAGGACCACTGCAGGCTGTGTCTTTATTAGATTTCTCCTGTTAGGACAACGCTATGATTAACTGTGACATTTCCCCCGGAGCTGCTGTGCAACCAAAGAGTTCCTAGCTCATTAAATATGAATCCGGATTAGCAGCCAAACACAGGACTGTGCCTTTGGTCCATGCTGGAGCATCACTGATGCCTCTTTGATGACCTAGATGTAAAATCTGCTTTCCAGGAATTTGCTGGGCCCGGAGGGAAGTGTGACAGGGAGGTGAGGAGGGGCAGTCTGAGGTCTCTGCACAGATCTCATTTCCCACCTGCAGCGGAGGAAGGGAGGGCTTGCTTTGCTTCATTTCAGACTCGTCTCAACCTCATGGCTTTCCCCTCATTGGCATCTGTCTTCAGAGAGAGCAGGGGGAAAACAAGAGAGGAAATGGGAAAAACAGCGGAGAACTGATTCCTAAAGCAGCAGGAGGAATAGCTGGTACAGAGGGAGTGTGGGATGAAGGAGTGGAGGGGGATGGAGGATGAAACAAAGGTGCAATAGGATGCAAGCGTTGGGGTTGCACGTGTGCCTGTTTGTCCAGTGGTGTCTGTGCGTCTGTATATGCTGTCATGCCTGTGCCCAAGGGCTGTTCTCCCCCTGCTAGGAAACTTCAGTTGAACTTCCCTAGAAATGAAATGGCCCTAAAATGACATAAAACCCTCACTTTTGCAAACTCCACTGCCGGCCCTGAAGCCCGGCTTGTCTCTTCCAAGATTACATGGCAATTGCCCTTCTGCGCTGGTATACTCTGGGCAATGCAGCACATCTCGCAGCCCTGCCCCTTGCTCCCTGGGCATCCTACTGATGAGGCACGTCTTTGGGTTGTTGGCAGGTCAGCAGGTGGGAATAGAGACTTGCCCATCAGCTCATTCATGCATAGTTCAGACAGTTAATTGCTCCTGGCTGATTTTCCAAAACTTAGATACCCAAGTCCCATTGAAATCAATAGGACTCAAGGGCGAAACTCCCTTTAAAGAAGGGGCACTTTTTTCTGAAAAAAAATTGCCTGCAAAATGGAGATCAGCTTCTGGGCTGAAGCAGGTGGGTGGTTCAGTCCTGCGGGCTGTCACTGCGGGGGTATCCCTAATGCACAGTACAGCTTCTAACTTTGCTTGGTGCTACTGGGGGAGCCAAGAGAGTATGCAAACTCGGCCTTCTTTGTAGGAGCAAGCTGGGAGGATCGGCAGCTGGACATGGTATCCCGCAGGAATTCAAACAGCTGCCTTTATGCCCCAGAACAAGCCTTGCCAGGGCGATACAGAGCAAGAGCTGTTCCACAGGGAGGAACACAACAATGGTTTTATTTTCAGCTGGTTTGGCCGGTCCTGGGAGGAAGCCTGGTTTTGTGGCTAAAGCACAGAAGCAGAAGCCAGAGGATTGCAGCTCTCTTTCCACCTGTGGCCCAGACTCTGCGTGAGCTTCATAATTTCATAGTTTCGTAGTGCTTAGGGTTGGAAGGATCATCAGGTCTGACCCCCTGCTCCGGGCAGGAACGGGTGCCGCGGTCATATCACCCCAGCCAAATCACCTAGGGTGAGTCACTTCACCTGCACACCTCCATTTCCCCATCCATAATTACCCATGGCGGGGATGTTAAGGCATCCTGCCACTACTCTAGAAACCATGAGGTTGCCTAACTCTGGACTCATGCCAAAGGGTGCCCCCAGCCAACCCAGCTATGAAGGCATCTGGATGTGATGCAGCCACATTATTTTCTTGTGTGGTGTTGACTCTAGGAGACAGGTGTGCTTTAACCAAGCGAGCTCAATGGGCTGATAGACATAGCCAGCCTTCTGAGCTTTTATTTGACCTTACAAGAGTCTGTAAGTTTCATAACCATAGAGAGCATCTACACATGCATTTACTGCACATTAAATTTACTGTGCAGTAAATTACTGTGCAGTAAGTGGATTAGGGCTGGCATTTATACATACAGGCATTAAAGTGAAGCAATGCTGTGTTTGGACTGACTTGGGAGTAAAGTTAGTTTCAAGTCAGTCCACACACACAGTGTTACTGTGCAGTAATGCATGTACACATGCATTACTGCGCAATAACTAATCAGGCCCAAGTCGGCATAAGTCACCCTAGCTACTGTGCAGTTCAGGCATGCATGTGTAGACATGCCCCTGCACTGTGCAGTAATTTTCAATTATTGCATAGTAACTTAGGTTACTGAGCAGTAAATGTGCATGTGTAGATGCTCCCATAGAGGCATATGGAGCAAAAGCTCTTCTGGAATTGTTTTTGGAAGAAACTCAAATTGTTTGACAGAAAAGATTGGTACTGATATGTCTTGGAGGTTTTTTGGGCTGGGGGAGAAGAGTTTTTAAATTGTTGAGATGTCCCTATTTAGATAGCCTCAAAAGGAAATATCCCACTTTTGATCTAAATGTAACTCGTTGTGTCAAGGCTTGAGCTAGTGAGAGCAAAAATGTTTAAAACATACGAAGGTGAAAATCAAAATGAAGCATTTCAATTGACCCGCACTGATGCTTGGGTTGGATTGTTGACTCATATAAAATTGAGGTTTTGACCTTTGGAATGGGAAAGATTTTTTTTTTTGTGACTGTTTCTCAGATGGGAAAACCAAGTCTGCACCCAGGTCCAACACTGAGATTTCAGATAACAGGGACTGCGGCAGTCTAAAGCCTCTGCTGCATATTACTTTTGCCTATGGGAGGAAACCCTGAATGTAAAATCTATGCCTTCCTTAAGTGAACACAACTAAGGAGTGTATGTTCATTGGAAAAACATTAATTGGAAACAATGCCGGTGACTGACCTCACTTTATTTGGGCTCTCTCAGGTTGGCTGGAAGGCATAGAAGATTGTAGGTGCTGAATCACTGTGTAGGGGAGGAATTTGCATCATTTACTTCTCATTTAAACTCAGGCAGAGTAAGTTTAAAAGGGAAAGACCCATATTTAAAAAGTGCTTCAGGCAGCCATCTGGGCCAGGCTGAACTGGGTTAAATATTCCATGAGAAATAGCTGTGACTCTGGTATTCACCATCTTTAGCTCTCGCTTGTACATGTGACAGAGGTTTAGTCCTTCGGGTTGCATTCTAAGCCCCCTAAATTGAAACGACGAGTTTTTAACTGAAACCTCACCATTTCAACCACTGTCGCTGTATATATGATGGTTCTGGAGGCTGCAAGTGCTGCTGAAGGCAGAAGTGATGAGGGGCCTGATCCTTTTTTTTTTTTTTGGCAGAGTCTGCCCACCTCTCCTGCAGCTGGGGGGCTATTAAGCTGTACCATTAGTCTGTCAGCTTGCCCTCCAGCCATGGGGGAGGCGGTGGAAGAAAGGATCGGGCCTCTTGCTGCTTCTGCCTTCAGCAGGCTCCTGCAGCTGGCAGGATGCCTAAAGCCACCCAGGAATGGGCTGGCTTGCCCCTGGGGGAGCACGGGAAGGCAGCAGGAGGGCAGCTGGGTTTGCTGGTGGCTGGAGAAGGCAGGGGGAAAATGCATGGGGTGCTGGAAGCTTTGGGCAGGCTGTTAGCTGTCTAAGTGTTGCCCCAGCTTGGAGGCACCCTATCCAATGCTTCCCTGAGCTCACCCAGGCTTTCAGCACCCCATGAACTATCCCTGTCACCTCTGGCTGCCAGCAAACCCAGTCATCCTCCTACCACCTTCCTGTGCTGCCCCAGGGGCAAGCCAGCCCATTCTCAGGTGGCCCCAGGTGTCCTGCTGGCTACAGGAGCCTGCTGAAGGCAAATGGAGTGAGGGACCTGATCCTTTTTTTCCATGTAGCCTGCTTGCCTCTCCCGTGGCCAGGGGACGAGCTGACTAATGGCTGCAACGTTCCAAATTGCAACATTGCAAACTAAACTACATTGGGATGTAGTTTAGTTTGCAACGATGCAAACTCATTTAAAACCCACAAAGCTCAGGTATGTGTCATATGTGATGCCTCTAAGCCACACAAAGGGAAATTTTCGTCACGTGCACATCATGACATTGTCATATGTACAAGCGCCCTCTGAAACCAGTAGTGCAGGGACCCTCGTGGTGAAGAAACAATGAGTGGAAAATTTTTGGAACCTTAACAAACCCCAACCAAGTTCAGGGTCAGTTCTAGGCAAAGGTTTGGGTCACTTCTGCCTTTAAGTGAACCAGCTAGTTCATCCCTCTGATGCAGGGTCCTAAAGACATGAACAGGGTGAGGCCACTGTTTTTTCATAATGCCCTACCATCATAACAAGCACAGTTTAAGGGGGTTCCTCCATGCTGGACCATGGGCCAGGCCAGTGGAGAGTCAGTAGGAGGTGAGACGTGTGTGCTTTTACTTCAAGACAACAGGAGGCTCCAAGTTCTGCCCCAGGGCATTTCAAATGACCCTAGGGTGCACATCATACCAACAGATCCCTAGGCAGCCCCAGATTTCCACAGGAGAGTGTCCTTGGCGGGCGTACCAACGTACTCAGCTTACAAAGTAAAGAACAGAAGTGGTGTTGTATCTCAACTGTGACCCAGCTTGCTTCCAGGGCGGGGGGAGGGTGTGCAGGGTTTCTGACCCTACAGCCTGTTCCCTTCTTACACTCGACAGCACACTTTTTCTAATGATTTCTTTTCCCTTTGACTTGCAGGTAGAGGTCTCTTATCCTGAGACTGCAATGAATGGATATACACTGAACAAAGGGGTCCAGTCAGCATTTCATACCTGGACAAGCATCCAGGGACCTTTCGTTCTTTGGCTGAAAAGGAGACAGTGCCATTTCCATTAGAGAAATGCTTGCAAGAACCTGCGCCAAGGAGCTGAAAGCTGAGAAAGCCAGCGAGGGGAGCTGGGTCAGCTGATCAGCTTTCAAATCGCCTTCAAACACTCGATTTTCTTAACATGATCCCTCCATCAATGGAGTCTCCAGGGCACCCCTTAGAAACTTTAGCAGGAGACAAATAAGTGGAGCCAAGCAGAAGCAACCGTGATACATTTTGAGAAATACCTCTTTTTCTGAGCACAAAAACAGGAACTGAAAAATATACTTTCGACTCCTTCTCCAACCACCTGGGACTTGAGAGAGTTCTGAGATATTTTTGTACGAGTTCGAGACCGCCCGCCTCATTTTACCTTCGCAGCTACAGCCTCCTACCCAAAGTAAATCCGGGAAGGATACGCCATCCGTTGCAACAGCACCACGGGGGGATTGACAGAAAGCCACTGTCCTTCCTTCTCCGCTTGCCGTATAGCCGTCATTCCCAGCCTGGTCTCGGACACTGCAGCTACAGTCGCAATATTACAATCACTGCCTTTGCTTTGCAACTTCCCACCCAACATCCAAGCGAGGAATGAAGGCGATATGGCCAAACTATTGGTAAAGTTCCAGCGTTATTTTCGTCGGAAACCCGTTCGCTTCTTCACCTTGATTGCTCTCTACCTGACGGCAGGGAGCCTGGTGTTCCTGCACTCTGGGTTTACGGGGGAGCCGACCGTCTCCGAGAATGAGCCCAACCCTATAGAAGGCACCAGCGAAAGGACCGAACTTCAGGACCTCGGGGTGCTTCAGCTCAGCCGGGGGTTCAAGGAGGCGCCTGAGTCTCTGAACCCGGCCAGGAGATTCGGGCCCTGGTTCAAGAGCACGTCCAAAGATACCTCGGAGAGGAGCAAGGTGGGGGATTATGGTGGGACCTGGAGCAGGGCTCTCAAAGGCAGAAACGTGCGAGAGAAAGAAGAGGACAGAGGTAAGTTCTTGTGGGGTTGGGGGGGAAAGTATAATGAGCAGCGTGTCCTCACTGCAGGGCAAAGGCACCGACCCGTAGCAAAGCTTTGGGTTTCCTGACCGCCGTCGGTGAGAGTTTTGCTATCAGTGAGCCCCGAATTTAACCCTGATTTGTTGCTTCTCCTGCTTGGAGCATGTTTCCCTTGGCTTTATCGATTCCAGTTGCCCTACTTTGGCTGGGAAACAAATTTCAGCATCCGACAGATCTCACCAGGAGGGATTTTTCTCCTAGATATTCAGCCTGAATTTTCCATTGCTCATTTCCATCTCCTAATGACTCCCGGCCCTTGGACTGAAACAATCCTTCTACCTTTAGGCTGTTTGCAAGCAGCGCTTACAAAACTCCACGTCTCCTCTGGGGAACTTTAAACGGGGTAACAATAGCAGAGCAAACTTTGCCAGGAGAAGAGCTGGCAGAGGCGCGAGATCTAGTCTGTGCCCTGTGGGGTCGCGTATGTGAACATGCTCAGGGGTCTCTCGCAAGGAAAGGGTCTTGTTCACCAGCACGGCTGCACAGACCCGGATCTGGCTTGCGTTATGTCATGTCTCCATTGTGCTCAGTGGGCTTCCTCTGGTGCACATTGGTGTAAGGGGAACTTAGAGCACAGGGGCCAAATCTGTGCTAACTAGAGCCTGTGCTAGGACCGTAGCTCTGCAAATAACCTCTGCTCCCCTCCTAGGACTGCGCTGGAGTCTGTTCATTTATAATGCTCACCCAGGATGCCTAATTGAAAGGATGGAAAAAGACTGAAAGCCACAGATTCACGTGGGTTTCTGTGTCTGTTGCTGCCCATGTACTCCAGCGGATAGGGAAGCACTGCAGTGGATCAATGCTTTTACTCAGCCTGCCAAAAAACTAGTGCCAATACCAGCAGCCCCAGTCTTTGTGCGTCCCTATGATCCAGGTACCCCAGAGAGGTCTTTGCATGTGACGGGGGGACATCAGAAAAACCTCCTCCAGTCCCTCTGAAACATGCAGTCTCCATTTGCAAGGAAGCCCACTCCTGATTTCACACACCGCTGACAGCGCCTTTGCGCCGGTGACTTATTGCACCGCTTCTGATGTGCTTATCATCTCTGAGAACCTAATTTACAGCCCCTGACAGGACAGTTATTTTACGAGGGATGCTGAGTTATCAGAGCTTCTGTTTCTTTACCGAGCAGGGCGGCAGAGGCAGCTTTTGTGTCTTCCCGATCATTATTTCCATTAGTGCCCGAGCGTGTCACAGAAAGGCAGCACCATCATCCATTTCTCTGCCGAGAAAAGGCATGCTGGAGCTCTGTTTGACATTGGGCAGCATTCACAGGCTTTCTGCGCAGAGTAGACGGCCAGGGCCACGACTCGTATATTCGTTTCCAAATCAAACACAACTCCATGTCATGATCTCCTGGATTCCCTCCCTCTGAAGATGCGCGCGGCTCCTCGAGGAGTTTCTGAAATGATTCGTGCCATCGGTACAAGCTAGAATGAGAATGGATCTTCTGGCCCGGTTCCTATTTGCTCCTTTGCTGTACTTACAGCTATGTGATCGCTTAAGGATGAAACATTTCCAAGACTGCTAGCCCAATGAGCCTGAGAAAGACATTTATATCCCTTTGATCATGAAGACTCCTTATCAATATTTATTACCGTTAATACTCCTATTATACTTCACCTATTTAACTTGGCCATCCCGCATACAAATTCCTCCTCAAGTAATGGGAAGCTGAAGTGCAGGCAATTATATTTGCAGTAAGGTCTCGGATACGACCTATAATGTCATGAAATATCAACTATTCCTACTCTGCAGGGCAAATCATGTAAAATGTAGCACAGATTTGCTAGAATATTATTAACGAACAAGGCTAAGCTACTTAAGTAGTTTGCATTGATTTTTTTAAAATGTCACTTCTCTACCTTTAAGGTAACTACATGTAGACAACCACAAATGCTCACAAAGGTGCTCTTACAGGTGGGGGTGTGAATCTCAAAAGTCTCCTCTACATTTGGCCAACTGGACTTTTTCCATCCACCCGAGGAGACCTCTGGGTGGTGGCTACCTCGTGAAACCTGGACCAACCTACCTCCAGTTGGGTGCCCAAAATTAGTGGCCAACTCAGAAACAAATACTTCCTGGCTGGAACAACATTTTAGCTTTAGCAAAACATTAGCTTTCTCTTCCAATAGTGTCTTGACGCCCGCCTTGCTGGGGTCATCTGACCCAAGAAGTCTTTCTTGCCCAAGTGCTGATGATCTGTAAGGTCCCTTCCAGCCCCTAACATCTATGAAACTATCTATGAAAATCCTCTACAAATGTGGCACTGTGGGGGAAAAAAAAAATCACAGTACAGCAACCTAATCTGTTGCCAGGAAAGTACCCTATGATGACCCGCAATGACCTGTAATCTGTATTTCCAGGTACAAATGGTGCATTTTCAAGGCCGTTACACTCTGCCCATACACTTCACCTTGAGCTCTCAATCTGCTGCTTCTGTCCCCTGTGAAGTACTAACTCGCGTCTTCGGTTGAGTGTGAATGCTGTTACAATTTGTTGTCATTAATAAAGTGGGCTGGTGAGAAGAAGCAATATAGCATATTGCTACAGTACAGTGCACCTGTGACAGCCACATAATGGATTGCCTTGGTATTTAGGGAAATAGCAGTAGCTTTTTCCATTACGGGAACACAAAACGAAACAAAAAACACCCCCAGCGGTGGTAACTACTAACCCTGTATCCCGGAGCAGAGTCAAGCCCTCTCGCTTTGTGATGGCTTTCTTCCCCACCTTAGGGAAGGCTCAGATGGACATGAAGCAGCAGGAGATGCCATGTGATCACCTCTGCTATTTTTGAAACGGGGTGGGTAGTTTTGTTGCACAATTAAAGAGTGGCCGATCTCCTTGGGAAAGCCATAACATCTGTAAAGTGACAGTGAATGGCCCTAAGGACCCCTGGCGCGCTAGAAAATGTTGCTATTCTTTGCTTTCCCCGCTGTCACAACCAAATGCAATGTTCCTCCATCAGCTCGTCTAGGTATTTTTGCAAGCGCGCAGCTGGCTTCAGCATTAAGGGTGCAATTTTATTTCCATTTGGTCATCTAAGCTGCCATTAGGTCAGCAGACGTTGCCCGGTGCTGTTTGCTGAGTGAGAGCCCAGGGCTGCCTCCCGTCTTACGGTAGACAGAGTCTTTTGGTTTGAGTCGATCTCTTTCCCACTCGGAGGCAGGCTGATGTTTCCAGCAAGCTTTCGGATAGCACAGTATCCTTTTTTAATCCCTTTCCGTCTTACGAGGTGTGCAGTAAAACTGTGGCAACCTAAGGATTTTGCAGTTGTTACTAAGCCTAGCCTGACAGATCGGCTGTGCAGCCCTTGCTTTCCAAACGCGTAGGCCCGTGCCTCCTTGGCTGACGTTGCATCGCTGTTGGCCATCAGCAATATAGGGCCTATGACACACACCCAGATGGTTTTCTTGCTATCCAGTGGTACACGTAGTCTGCAGACATTTCGTATCACCCCTCTGTAGGGACTGAGCAGCTTTTGTGTGTCGGTAGAAACCTGGGCTGGACGCGTGCCTGTTCGAAGTATGGACCAATAATCCCTCTGGAGCCTTTAAGTGACTTCCACCCTACATACGAGCAGAGAGAAGACAGGATGCCCAAGTAAATAAATAGCCCCCCTCTTCTCCTGGTGCCCCATCGCGTTCTCCGGCTCGGAAGAGAGGAATCAGTGAAATCTATGCAGTCGCGTTCATTAGACTAATTTGAATTGACATTTAGAGAATCTCAACCAGATGGTTCGTGAGAATAAACTGTCAGTCACTGTAAAGCAACATGCCGTCTTCCTGTTCCTGGCCATATGTAACGTGTCCACAGCAATTAACCTCTGATAAAATGGCTTCTAATGCCTAATGACAGAGACGGGGGATTGGCTCCGGGAGACTGCGTCGCCACGAGCGCGTCGTGCTAGCCGCCGAGGAGCGAGTCACGCGGGCCTCGGAGATGCTGGCGGAAGGGGCTACTTTATGCTCAGAGCAAATACGGGCGCTACTTCCATTCAGTTTAGGCATTATTTGTTCCCAGCAAGAAACCGGCCTGAATAACGTGCGGAGGGATTTTCAAGTTCCAGCAGTCCAGCCCATTTTTTAAAAGCTGCTGCAAGGCCGGCGCTGGAGTCACATCCTGGGGACAGGAGGGCTGTGCGTTTGGTGGCGCGGGTGAACTGGTCATTGTGTGGCAGCAAAGTGTTCCCACAGCTCAGATACCGTGTTTGTAACTCGATTTATTAGCCGCTCCATTGTGAATGCTTTTCTTTTCCCCGTCACGGCGCCGGAAGATTTGGGACGATAGCTCCGACTGCACGAAGCTGGCCGTTTGTGCCAGGCGCAAGCACCTCCTGGCTGTAATTAGCAGGAGCGCATGAGCCCTGTATGAGATGCTTGGGAGCAAAAAGACCAAGCTGAGACGCTGGTGTAGTTACACCTGCCTGGATGGGAGCTGCTGTGCTCACCACCTCTCTGCAGTGCAGAAAGGGGCGAACTTAGGAAACAATTTGGCCCAGTGCTTATAGTCTGTTTTTACCCTAGACCCTTCTGCTCCTTCTTTGAGAGAGTGACCTGGTGATATACCAGCCTCTGGGATGGGTCGCAGAAAGGGAAGGATCAAACTAGGGCATCTTCATCGCTGCAGCCCAAGTCTTTGCTGCTTGTGCTGGCCGAAGCCGTTCATGACCGATTAGGAGCTGTAGGCCTTTAACACATAACTTATTCATCCACGTACCACACATACCTTTCCCCCCCCTGAAAATCAGCCTTTGTAATTTGGGAGTGGGGGGGCATCTTAAACAAGGAAGCTCTGAACAGTTTGGGGGGGGGCGGACACATGGTATGTGAATACATATGGAAACAGCGATTGAGCACTGGCCCAGCTTGCCGAGGGGTGCCGCTGCCCCCCCCCGACACCGAATATCTCTGCCTGACAGCACGAT